AGAACTTGCCCAGTGAAATAGGCCTCTTGCAAACCTTTGGAGAGGATAGGACCTTAGATAGAATCCTGAGTCCCATTCAGAAACTTATGAGGTGGGACATTCCCACTAGCAAGGACAAGCAGACCAGCTTGGAACAGCTAGAGCAACAGAAGATACATCTACAAAGAAAGATCATTTAGAAAAACCCAAAACAAAAATGTTAGCATGACTGGCTACTACAAGAATAAGCAAGCTGTTCTCCAGGAATCCATCAAGGCAAGCAATTAAGTTCCTTCACGACAAGCTCCCTTCTAAGACTGAAACTCAAAGGGGACACATGATTAGGCATGTAAGCTTGCTGGCGACCACATTGATCTATTGGTGAGTGGAAGAGATGGAAAGGCAGCAATGAAGAACTACAGTCCATTGACTCCTGTTCACCTAGAGATGAGAGAGAGAAGAGGAAGGGCTAGTTGGTCCAAAGTGTGGTAAAACCTGGGAACACTTGAGCCCATGGACTAGGACATAACCACAGAGGGCTAGAGCTGAGAGTGAAGCATCCAACTGTTATGAAGTGAGGGGAGATGCACAAGAACACCCAAACTTGCAGACAGTATCCATTTGACCTAGCCTTGATGGCTTGATAATCAGACCTCCACTAGATGAAGATTACCCAAAAAAAAAAAAAAAAAATTTTTTTTTGATAAAGGAAACAAGGGTAAATTGCTACAATTTGATGAACCTGACTTATACTCATGGAGGTAGTAACTCTAAATACCAACAGAGAGGGGAGGTGTCTTCACATCAAGTATCAATGCTATTCCCTCTGGACACAGGGTAGATAGGGACAGGCAGCTTAGACATTGGCAACCTAAAATGAGGGAACGATAAAGGCACGAAGTGACTGGCTTACAGGGTTTCAAGAGAGAGTTTAATTTAAGAGTCTGGGGGGAAAGAAACAGTCCCCACTGAATAGTTTTCTTCTTGTCTAGATTGGTCTGGTGAAAAGAGATGGGGATAAGATTCGTGTGATTCAATAGTGAATAATTGTTACCATGACTAACTGTGACTGTCACAATTGTAAAGGTAGAAGTTTTGTAACAAAAACGGGAGTGGTTAATTTTACAGTCCAGAAACAGAGGACCCTAGGACCATCAAGGGAGAAGAGCATAAGCAGAATGCAGAACCTTATCTAGAGACGCCAGAGACAGAGGCAGAGAGGGAGTCATGGAGAGAGGGGGAGTGGCCGAGAACTCTAGATTCATGGGAAGAAAGGGACTAAGAGCTGGTGGTCAGGAGGCGGACTTGAAGAATGTGCCAAATTGATTTAGATAGGGAGGAATACTTTAGTTTCATTTTGGGCCACAGGTCCTCTGAGTTGGTGTGAATGTCTTTGACATAGTGGGTGACCTTGGACAGATTTCTTAACCTTGTTCCATATGTATTAGTAGATGGAGATGATGAACCTTGCTTACCTGGTTTGTGGGCTTGTTGCAGAATAAAATGAAATTGTGTGAAAATGAACTGAATTCTGGGGTCAGTTTTGTTAGCGGTTAACGTTAACTCTTGTAAGAGTTTTAACAAGCTCATGTTATGATAGGTTGGCTAACAAATTGCCCTCTCACAAGAGGGAGACGGAAGACCAAATGACTATATCTGCTTATGTCTATGATATACTTTCTTGTTTCCATGTTTGTGTGACTTATAGCATAATTTTTAGTCCCTAGTTTCAGTTTTAAAATTTATGATTTAGAGACACAGTTACTTTTAATTTATTTCCTCTTTTCTGAAACAGGAAGAAACATTTTAAAATAAAACAGTCGAAGTGTCTTTTAGGGTTATTATCTATATATCTTTGAACTTAACATTCTTGAATACAGAGATAAGATCTATTTAGTGCCTATAATATATATTTAACTTAGATAAATTTTATGATACAAGTAAGCTCTAACTTCTGTGTGTCTACATATTATTTTAAGTATAGAGGCTGCTTCGTTATAATGAAACTAAATACGAGGGACTTCAAAAGATTTGTAGAAATTTTCATTTTCTTATTCAATTTTTGTCTGAGGTTTTTAAAGTTCCCTTGTATTTTTGGTCTAGCAGACTTTGTGATTTCTCATTAAGTGCCAATGAGTTGGTTCTGACTCATAGAGACCCTGTGTTCAACAGACTGGAATGGTGCCTAGTCTTGCAACGTCCTCACAGTTGCTGCCATGTTTGAGCCAATTGTTGCAGCCACCGTGTCCGTCGATCTTGTTCCGGATCTTTTTTCTTTTTCATTGACTGTCTTCTTTACTAAGCCTGATGTCCTTCTGCAAGGACTGGTACTGTACGATGACACGTCCAAAGTGTTTGAGATAAAGTCTTCCCATCTTTACTTCTAAGGAGTGTTCTAGGCTGTACTTTTTCTGGAAGTCCGTGGTGCTTATGTCCTTCACCAACAACATCATCAATGCGTCCATTCTTCTTCAGTCTTCCTTATTCATTGTCCAGCTTTTCCATGCAATAAGGTGATTGAAAACAGCATGGCTTCAGCTTGGCACATTGTAGTCTTCAAAGTAACGCCTTGGATTTTGAACACTTCCAAGAGGTCTTTTGCAGCAGATTTGTTCAGTGTAAATACATCATTTGTTTTTTTTTTTTTTTTGGCTGCTGCTTCTGTGAGCATTGATTGTGGAGGCAAGTAAAATGAAATCCTTGACAATGTCAATCTTTTCTCCATTTATCATGATGTTGTTTATTGATCCAGATGTAAAGATTTTTTGTTTTCTTATGTTGTGACAACTATAGTCTTTGATCTTTATCAGTAAATGCTTTAAGTCTTCATTGTCTGCAAGCAAGATTGTGTCATTTGTATATCACAGGTGGTTAATGATTCTTCCTCTAATCCTAATGAAGTATTCTTTCTCATATAGTCTAGCTTCTCTGATTATTTGCTCAGCATACTGATTGAATAAGTATGGTGAAAAGAAACAACCCTGACAAATAACTTTTCTTGGTTTTAAATCATGCAGTATTCCCTTGTTCTTTTCCAACACTACCTGTTGGTCTGTGAACATGTTGTTCATGAGCACAGTGACGTATTATGGAGTTCCCACAGTCAAATGCCTTTGTATAGTCAATAAAACCCAGGTAAACAACTTTCTGGTATTCTCTGCTTTCAGCCAAGATCTTCCTGACATCAGCAAATTTTCTTTTAGTCAAGGAAAATACAAAGTACATTATTATCTGTGATTAGGTGTACATTGTACACCAGGGCCTTAGTCAACATCAGGATCCTATGTGAACCCTCTTGGTCTAGTCAGATTCAGATGTGGTCCAGCTCAAAAAAAAAAAACAACGAAAACAAAGACCAAATTGATTTTTTGCAAATGTGCTGCTTATTGTTGTTGTTAAGTGTTATCAAAGTAGTCTGACTCATAGCGACCCAGTACAGAGGTTTTGAGGAGCAGTTGTTGACTTTGAACCGCTGAACTTGAGGTTCCAACTGATTTTGGGGTCGAGTGTTTATCATGCAGTGCTACACCAGGACACAAATCATTTGTGTGATATTCCTGTCCAAGATGCATAAACTGAACCTGGTGGTGTTGTTGGTTTTTGCCCTGGTATCGGTTCTGATTCATAGCAACCTTGCATAAAGTTTTTGAGGCTGTAAATCTTTATCAGAGCAGAAAACCTCATTGTTCTCCTGAAACTGAGTCTAATCATGAGAGACATTGTACAAAACAAATGGCCTGTACTCTTCAAGGTTATGGAAGTTAAAGATTGAAGAATTGGTCAACGTTAAAGGAGAAGAAACTGTTCCAGAAAAATGGGAGTTATCATGAAGAAACACAACTAAATGTAACATGTGATCCTGGATTGAATCCTGAGCCAAAAAATTGTTTTCTTGTTTGATATAAAAGACATTAGTAGGACAACTGGAAAAATTTGAATAATATCAATACATTTGTTAATATGAATAGTACTGTGTCAAAAATTTTCTGGTTTGATATTATTACTCTCTATGTAACATAATATTTGTGCATAAGGAAATACTCAAGCATTTAGGGTTAAAAGGACTATTTATCAATTTCAGACAAAAATAATACATAAAAAGAACATGATTAAGTGTTAACATTGAATATGGAAAAAGGGTGTGTTGGCATTCTGTGTGCTTTTTTTTTTGGTTTTGTTTTAACTTTTCTATGGTGGGAAATTATTTGAAAATAAAAAGATAAAAGAGATGGTAACATAATGGAGTTTGCCACTAATTGATTTTTTTAGCATATTACCTAAAACCTTTTTTAGGTCAATTCCTTCATGTGTAAAATGAGATGCCTGGACTAATTTTAATGGGTCCTTCTAGATTTAAAAATCTATAATCCTATTAATAGATGTTAGCAGTAATCATAGTAATTATTAGAAACTAGTAATAATTAATTCACAAGGAATCTTGGTGGTTCCGTGGTGAAAGTGCTCAGCAGCATACCAGAAAATCAGAAGCTTGAGTCCACTAGCAGCTCTGTGGAAGGAAAATGTGAAGGTGTGTTTCTGTAAAGATGAATTGCCTTGGAAACCGTCTGGTGCTGTCCTTTGTCCTATAGAGCCACTATGAATTGAAATCAACCAGTGAGTTTGATTTTGAGTAGAACAGCTCCGTTGAGTTTTCAAGGTTGTGAATCTTTATGGAAGCAGGCAACATACCATGTAGCATCCTAGCACTTAACCCACTGTACCATTAGAGCTCCTTATTGTATGACAAGTGACAATTGGATAATGATTTTTCTTTATTTAACCGCAGCCAAACAATGTGCTTGTAGAGGATTTTCCAATGAAAATTTGGTTATTAAGATCCAGAATAGATAAAGTTTATTCAGTATTTCTAGGTAACATACTCTCTCTCCAGCCTAGAGAACTGTCAGGATACAAGTAGCAGATGATGTAAAGACTTAATTGATGTCCAATATAAAGTAATAGTCATCAAAGATAAAACTCAGTTAATCTTTTTTCCCCTCCCTCATCTCCACCCCTTCCAGCTTGGTGATCCAGCGATTTTTCCTGCTGTAATTGTGGAACATGTTCCTGGTGCCGATATTCTCAACAGTTATGCCGGGCTAGCCTGTGTGGAAGAGCCCAATGACATGATTACCGAGAGCTCACTGGATGTTGCTGAGGAAGAAATCATAGATGATGATGATGATGACATTACTCTTACAGGTGTGTGCATTTCTAGACCTTACAACAGGACAGGTTTAGACAGGCTGCCAGGCCTGTGGTATTTTGAGCACAAAACTTTCTAAACTGTGATTTTCAGTGACTTCATTACCTGTGGGAGATCAGGACCTACAGGGAGAAGAAAACTGTTTTTTCATGTCTCACCTGCCTGTGTTTCTTACTGCTTTCTTACCTCTACTTTCTTCTTCCTAAATATACTAAGATGAACATGACAGAATAGGAGGCACATAAGAGGTACCAAACCTGGTATGGCGCTGTGGGTCAGTGCACTGGACTGCAAGGTCAGTGGTTCAACCTTACCAGCATCTCCTTGGAAACCTTACGCAGGGTCACTATGAGCCAGAACTGACTTGACGGCACTTAACAATAACACACCTACCTATTCAGCTGATGGAGCCTTCACTAAGTACCTGTCTTTATTACTGATAAGATGTTTGTAGGGTAATAGATGGGAATATTCTTTTTTTATTTGCTGTTGCCACAGGGAGGAAAGCAGAAGGCCATAACCCAAATATAATGTAAATTCATGGTATTTACAGAAGATTTATTTTCTGGTTCACTCAGAACTAGTAGAATATTTCAAACTTGAAGTGTAGACTACAGGGACAAGATGGCAGCCGCCATGCTGGGTTCACTGCTGCACACTGTTCGGCAGCCTAGTTTGCTATAATGAACTGTGAGATATGACCTAGCTGTTCACCAATAAGTTCCAGATAGTTCCTTCATCAGCTTTAAGCCAATTCGAAGTTACTATGTGGACTGGAAAACGTTATGTGATGTGAAGAGAAAATGGCCAGTGAGTATGCAGATGACAGGCTATGAATCAGTTCGCTCAGGAAGAATACCATTTTGTCAAACGATCTGCAGGAAGTGGCTGATGAAGAGGTCACTGCCTTTCTCTGGGGTAACTGCCCCGTTAGAATCCGAAATTGCTGTGTTATGACATCCCATCGAAGTGGTATAAAGTGGCACTGGAGGTTTAGTTGTATTGTCTTCTCCCAGTTAGCTAACCATGGACAACTTTCTGGGGTCCAGTGAGCAATATGGAAATCAGTTCAGAACCTACTAAGTTTGGAGGAAAGCTTGTTACGGCAATAGACTTTTCTATTAAGACTTAATTGTGAATAATTATTAGATTAATTGAGATTGTCACAACTGTAACTGTAGAAGATATGTAACTAAAAGGAGGAAGTAGGTAATCTTTCATTTTAGGAAGAGAGGATCCCAGGATCATCAAGAAGGAAGACCATGAGTGAAACATGAGAACCCTACCTAGAAAAGCAACAACAGCAAGGAAAATGACTATATGCCTTTAGGCAGGAGGCTGGCTGTCAGAATGTGCCATTTGAACATTTAAATGAATATATATTTTTTTGTTTTATGTGTGCACATTAAGAAAAAGACCAAACACTTTTCTTCTAGGGTTCCATGTAAGAGTCTTATTTCCCAAATTCTGTCTATAAATTATGTTTAAAATGTAAATGTTTAAATGTTTCACTCTGTCAGTAAAATATGGCTCTCACTGAATTACCTTTTCTTTTAAACTCAAGAGAGTAAACAAAATTGCCAAGCATGCAGCAGAGTAGCATACTAAAAAATATTTTGTGAAGACAACGACAATAAAGGGTGGCTGGTGGAAGTGTAAAGGCATAGTGGTAGTAATAGTCATCAGTTTTAGAAGTTGGTACGTATACAAGGGGTCATTCAAAAAATTTGAAGGAAAATGGAATTAAAAGATGGAGACATTTTTTCCGTGAACTTTTTGAAACCCTCTCATATTTGTGTTTTTGTACACTTACATTCATACATCTTATCCAGAGACGTCAGAGATATTTGAGATTATGTAGAAGTAAAGGTTATTTTAATGTTTAGTATTAAATTAAAAAGTTTACCAGAAACAGTCAAAATGAAATGTATCTGTAGATTTCACTGTGCAGCTATTGTGGGTGCCTTGTTTACAGGCTTATCTCAGCGTCTAGCGCAGTCCCTGGTATGTGTTCAATTAAAGCATTTTTAATGAATAACATATGCTACTAGATATTAAAACATTTTTAAGTTACAGTAACTAGAGGACTATAACATATATGGAAGAATAGTAAATTGGGTTATTATAACTGCATATAAAAATCTAGATACAGGTTCTCATCTGTTTAAGAATTTATATGATATAGGTGACAGTTTGCACAGATAAGCACTGGACTGTGAACCACAAAGTTAGTAGTGATTCAAGCCTGCCAGCTGCTCTGCGGTAGAAAGACGAGACTTTGTGCTTCTGCAAAGTTTTAAAGCCTCAAAAACTTTGGGTCACTATGAGTAGGAAGCAACTTGATGGCATCTAACTACAACAACATAGTAACATTTTAAATTAGTGGGAAAAAGGAGAATAACTAGATACCCACTTGGTGGGGGAAATAAAGAAAGCTAGATTCATAAAGCAACAAATAATTTAAAAAGTCGTATGCAAAAAAACTCACAATAAAGTAAGTGTAAAGAAAATGACAAATGAGTAAAACAATTTACCACCTATACTTGATAGATAAAGGACTAATATCCTTAAAATGTAGAGACTAACAACAAATAATTTGAATAGGCATGTAATAAGTGAAAAAATTACAAGGGTCCAGCAGTGTATGTGACCAAGAGGATTTCTTTCTCTATTCAACAAGTAAATGCTATGTGCAATGGAAGTTAGTATCATTTTCACCCATCATGAGAAAGATGACAAAAAAAGATATTAAAAAGGATGGAAACCACCATAATATAGACCAAAACATAGAGATTGAAATTGGGGTGAAATTTTTGTCATAGCATCAAAAGCTCTGAGCTTGGTTTTATGTGTGAGCTGTTAGATTTTTGTTGTTAGATTAAGTCCTGTTTACTTTCAGCAAGCAAGGCTATATCATCTTCATATGTTGTTGTTGTTAAGTGCCATCGAGTCAGTTCCGACCCATAGCAACCCTGTATAGGGTTTCCGAGGAGCAGCTGGTGAACTTGAACCACCGAACTTGTAGTTCAAACGGCTTTGCAGTCTGGTGCATTAACCCACAGTGCCACACCAGGACTCTATCATCTACATATAGCAGGTTGTTAATGAGTCTTCCTCCAATCCTGAAGTCACATATGTCATATAATCCAGTTTCTCAGATTATTTGCTCAGCATACAGATTGAGTAAGTATGGTGAAAGTATTCAACCTAGCATATATCTTTCCTGATTTTAAACCACTCAGTGTCCCATGTTCTGTTTGAACAGCTGTCTCTTGCTCTATGTATAAGGTTCCTCATAAGCACAATTAAGGAATACCCATTCTCCTCAGTGTTCTCTGTAGCTTGTCATGATCCACACAGTTGAAAGCCTTTGCATAGTCAATAAAGCAAAGTTAAACATTTTTCTGGTATTCTCTGTTTTCAGCCAATATCCATCTGATGCTAACAATGATATCTCGTACTCCAAGTCCTTGTCTGAAACCTGCTTGGACCTTTGGCAGTTCTCTGTCAATGCATTGTTGCAGCTGTTTTTGAATTATTTTTAGCAAAATTTTACTTGCATATGTGATATTAATGATACTGGCTGATGATTTCTGCATTCCTCTGGGTCACCTCTCTTTGGAATGGGTACCAACACACACACAAAAAAGCCTGGCATGGCTGACACAGCTTCGAGCATCCCAGCAACATTCAAACTACCACAGTATGATGAACTGACAGTATGACAGAGACTGGATCTAGTAGGTTGTTAATGAGCCTCCCTCCAATCCCACCAGTCTTCTTCATATAGCCCAGCCTTATGTACAGATTGCATAAAGAAAGTGAAATAACGCTGACAGACTTTTCCTCATTTTAAGTCACGCTGTATTCCTTTGTTCTATTCAAACTACTGCTTCTTGGTCATTGTACAGATGAACACAGTTAAGTGTTTTGAAGCAAAACAACAACAACCCACACACACATACACACACACTAAACCTACCATGGAATCTTAAAATATGTATGTGTAGATGTGAAAGTGATAGGTATTAGTATAAAATCAGTAAGTAATGAAATTAACATCACTAGAACTCAAGATTTAGAGTAAAAATATGTAAATGTTAAATCATAAAAGTTAAGTAAAAATTCCATAATCCTACATTCAAATTGAATATCTCAATATGAATTTTTAATATATTTTAATCTTTCATAACACAAAAACATTTCCTTGCCAAATAACAGGACAAATTTAGCATTGTTGAGCATATTGTTTGCAGTGGATTTAGGATATGCGTGTTAACCAAGGTTGGCAGTTAAAATCCACCCGCCACTCGTCGGATACCCTATACAGGTTGCTATGAGTCGGAAATGACCCAACAGCACCTAATAACATGTTTTAATCTATGGGGTCATTATGATACTTTAGAAATGAAATTGGTCACTGGTGGTGGGATATGGTGGTTGTGTGCCTTGGAGTTGATTCCAACTCATAGAAACTCTGTATAGTGTTTCTAAGGCTGTAAATCTTTACAGGAGGAGAAATCCTCATCTTTCCAGCCACTTCCTCCATGGAGTAGCTGGTAGTTTTGAACTACTGACCCTGCGGTTAGCAGCTCAACTCGTAATCTACTATGCTACCAGGGCTCCTAGGTCACTGGTAGGGGATTTTAGTTATTTGAAAGTGATACGGAACTAATCAAATATTTTTCATAACTTCACATAGTGAATATATCACTGAGTAACCAAGTGATGGTGTTGTTGTTAAGTACCGTTGAGTCAGTTCTGACTCATAGTGACCCTGTATAGGGTTCTCAAGGAACAGCTGGTGGGTTTGAACTGCCTACTTCATGGTTTGCAGTCCAGTGCTAATCCTGCAGCGCCACACCAGGAGTCCAGCCAAGTATTAGGTACAGAGAAGTTTTTCTTTATGGATAGGTATGTAGGTGTGGAGGATCAGTATTTGTTACAAAAACTCAATGATACATTTGAGCCCTCTGGTGGAAGAACACATCATCAC